TGTGTTATGATCTAGTTGTCTCATGTATTAACTGTTGTTTTGATTTGGAGTTTTCAATTTAAAAGGAGGTATTCCTTCTTTACAACGGTACATGAATCTAAACGTCGCACTTGTGAGTGAGTTTAGTTTTGCGCCACACCCAGCAATATTCCAGCTATATGGTGGTGGTCTGTAAATAATGGAGTATGGACAGACAATCCAGTGATCAACAGCATGAACATCGATCTACGCAACTGGGATACGATGACATAAAATTATAGTCAACTAAAGTCAGCAAGCCTGACCACCCGATCCCGTTAGTCGCCTCTTACGACAAGCATGGGTTACTGAAGATCAATATTCTAACCTGGATCTTCACGGGTCCAAAATAAGGAATAGTATCCTGACATTATCTTTGTCATTGATGTGTCACATTAAGAAATACAAGCACATGTCAACCATAAAAATTGAAAAGCTTTACCGAGGCCAAGAATGTTGCACGCTTGATTAATCAACTTCTGGGCAATATCACGGCGTAGGACACCAATATCACGGAACTACACACATTGTACCCATAGAACGCTTAGCCACCAGGCTAACTCACCGCCCGGTGAAGCAAAGAATGCACAGTGACATAGACAGTTAGGGGCGTTGGGGTAGCCTGGAAGTGGTTAAAGCGTTGGCTCGTCACGTCGAAGACCCGGGTTCGAATCCCCTACATGGGTACAATGTGAAGCCCATTTCTGGTGTCCTCCGCCGTGATGTTGCTGGAATATTGCTAAAAGCGGCGTAAAACCAAACTCACTCAGTTAGGATATAGATAATTACAAGATGTGCTGACTTCCGGTCAACATGCACGCTATGTTTACTTCCAGTCATGTACACCAGAACCTGGTAGTTCCTCTACCAATAGGCTGTATGTCGGACCTCCTCCGTGGTGTAGTGTGGTTAGGAGCGTCCGTCCGGAGAACGGAAGGTCAGCGTGTTCGATCCCCGACCCCGTCATACCAAAGACGTCAAAATATGGTACTTGTTGGTCCCCGCCTGGCGCTCGGCATTAATGGGTACAACAAGGACTGGTCGGCTCGAGTCAGTATAATGTGTCTGGAGTGGGGTATTCATGCTTCACTGCATGGTATCTCAGTGGATTTAGCACTATAAAACCAGCTTCAGTCTGGCTAGTACTAAGCAGCCGCACATACACATACACGCATGCATCGTCGTCATATGAGTGCTGAAATATTCTCAAGCACGACGTTAAACCCAATTTCACCTCACTTACTCATTGTATGCCACCTCACCTAATACTGTGTGGCCATTGCTGGAACCTAGGTTAGTTTTGGTTCATATGAAAATGATAGTAAAGGAACTTCAGAATGAAAACAATGCATACCGCTAAAACAGATGTGAAATAAGGGTAAAATCACTGGTCTGTTTTGATTTGGCATTTAGAGCGAGTGTGAGTTTTACGTCACATCGGCGACATTTCAGCCACATCGTGACGGCGACATTAAGAAGTTGGTGGAGTAACAATAAAGGCAAGATATCTGTGGGTGACGTCTTCTTTATTGCATTATCATGCGGCCCTCGCTTGACAACGGTATACAGAAACGGCATATCATGATATAATATAGAAGTTGACATCCACAGAGTCGCTTACCTTTAAAATTAACTAGTTTCGGTATGAAATCACTAGGTATTTTGGATACAAATTCATGACATCATCGGGATTGTGGCTTGTTCTGCTTTAAAACAGAATCTGAAATCATTGAGTCTCTTTATGGGTACTTATATTTCTGTTGTGTATATTGAGCAAATCACTGAAAGGTTTAACAGGACTTGGTGTTGTTATAAGTATTTCTTAATGTGCCCTGTGGTACGTAAAAACATCTTGAAAAACTCCAACTGTTCAATCTTTTATTTTAGAATTTTAGGGCCACAGGCCTATAGTACATCAGATTAATATGGATAAGGAGCAGAGAGTACATTTTTCTGTGTAGAAAGACATGACACAGAAACATTTTTTCTAGATGCTCCTAGTAGAATAGGGTTAACAGATATATACATTTGTAAATATTAAGATGTACAAAGTAATGTTTCTTAATATACTTTATTTCTCTAAAGTGTGTTAGGCTGGACAGACACAAAGAAAAACGATATTCATCTTCAATTAGATTCAAATCTTACATTTTACATATTTTCTGTCTTCTTTTCTTATTCCAATATATCTATACCTGTTTCTATTTACAAATTCATGGGATGAGCAACAAAATGTTGCAAGCGTGATTCTATATTATAAGATGATAAATAGGTTTCATTATATATTGATAACTTAAACATTCTGCAATATACAAATATTTATTTGACACAGGTAATTGGTCAAGCCAATTCTGGAGATATATATCTTGTAACCTTTGTTTAATGGATATGAGAAACTTTGGGCACGAGTCTATGCACTATTCTTGCCATATATTACCAAAACCAGAAGAAACTAGTAATTTGTTAACATCTATGATCCAATTACCTTTCCATTTCTATCGTACAAAATCATCATATTGTAACATTTTGGGGGTAATCTTTTAAAATGGCATATTTTTAGCATTTTTATCCAATATTTTACTACTTTCATTTTTGTTCAACAAATAATGGAAACCTACCACATTCACCATAAACCATAATGTTTGGAAGTAGTAACTTCTCACCAAGAAAACTTTGTGAATTGCATACGAGTGTACTTTTCTAGTTTGAGATGTTTAGAGTCCCCAAGTCTCAGAACAATATACAAATGTAGAAGTATGGGACTAAACCTAGAATAAAAAAAATCTTAAAATTATTTATGTGACAAGTCACGTAAATTATAAATAAATCTAATCTAATACCAATGATTTTTGAGTCTTATCTCTATTTAAGATTAGTTTCCATTCATGACAGTATTTTCTCTAATTCGTTTATTTCTACTTGTAATCCGCGAATAGTAGTAGAGAGAAGAAACTGATATCATCAGCATATATACTGGAAATAGTTGTACTATATCTGGATGTAACAGAAACCATTTAAACTGTTTTTAATGAATCTTTATTGCTAGTTCATTGATAAAGAAAGAAAATACAAATCACAAGTCGATTAAAATGTCCTGACGCAATACAAGGCTTGACTTCGTCGAGTAGAAAATGGCGTCCCGGCATAGAACGCCGACCGTATTTTAATAACTGATGCATACTATGGGAAAGAATTAAAATGGCGGCGGCAAATTGCCTCGAAGTGCTCTGTAAACAAAGTGGATAGTAAGATCTTCGGTATACACGTTAAACTTATTCTATTTGACATGGTGGGTTAATTAAACTGTCGGAGATGGATAAATAAACAAACAGTTGTTCAGACAATATTGCTGATCGATACATTTCTGACCTGAAATTTTGAGTGACAATCAAAGTTTTTCAAAAAGTTTCGAGCTTTAGTGCTGACATCATTTCGTATTTTATGTAGTCTGCAGTCATTCCAGGAATCGAAGTCTGGGATGGAAAACAGAAGCCCAATAAAGAGAACGGATTGAAATGGAGTTTCAAGTTTTAATTCACGATCTTTACAAGCTCATCCGGCGAAACAAGTTATCTGAGGGACTTCAAACTGAGATATTTTGAACAGTTTGAAGCTAAGCTGAAAGAAACGATTCAAGAGACATGGCTGGAAAAATTAGGAACCAAGACAAAAGTAACTGCAGCGGAATGTCTACAGAAGGCCTTGACAGAAATAGTCACAGACATCCAGTGGCAAATGCCAGATACGGCATCACCAATGAAGGGAAGACGAGCATTCCAAACAAACTCAACAATCTAAAAATCACAACATCGTTTTTGTTTTCCGACTTACAACAAATCTCGCAACAAATGCGTATGTTTGCAGGCAAACGCGCTTTTAGATTCTGACATTTTTCTTGATGCTATAATGCCACCACATCTGTTTGATCAGTTCTGTCATCATGCCAGGTTATCTCTGTAACTGGATTGACATTTCATCACTGAACAGACCATGTGTAAGTACCCATGATAAGCGTCACTATACTGCTACAAACATGAACTGTGTTCATATTTCATAATTTATGAATTCATACAAATTATTATATATATATGAATTTCAATAATAGGTATTTTAATATTTGAGTCTCTTATGACATATATTCATCATGTTAATTTAAAAGCTATGTTGGCATCACTTTGTAGTATGTGTATAACAAAGGTGTTTCTATCAAACCTTTATTGGTCACTATGGCAACTACCTAATACAGGACAGTAAATATAACCATTAGGAGAAAAATGTTTATGTTGGATTTGTCATTCAACTTTAGCATGCTCCAATGACTTTCTCATACTTGTGTCAGCTAAGTAAACTTCACATTCATGCGAAAACAGTAATGAGTTTCATTATGACCCAGCTTCTTGAAACCGCTAACCTCCAACAAATGCTGAGAGTAAACAATCTAAATTACAAACTATAACACTTTATCAGTTTGTCGGAAATCTTGTTCAGATTTCCTTGCCTTTGATTAGAATATCTAATGTATCATGTAGAATTGGCTTGAAAACTTATTTCATTATCATTTGCTACAGGTAGATCACACTCAACAAAAATACACATTCTGTAAATATTACCTATTCTGTTATTCAGTCTCTTGAATAATAGTTCTTCTTCAGTTTGGTGTTGACTATGCATGATATACTCTATGTTGCAGTATAAAAAGCCTGGTTGTCACCAACATCAAGTGGATACCAACAGTATTGGAAATCATCACAAAAAGTTTAAGTCACATCAAGGGTACAGCACTAACTGTGGATAGCCTTGTAAACCTAGGTTCTAAATGCATGGAAATTATTCAAAAAGTTGTGGTTAAGTCAAGGCAAAGAAGAGTTTCAGCGAAGGTTTTCTCTGGTGAAACATCTGATTCAGCGGTGATCCAAAGAGAGTGCTGACCATGATCAAACAAAGAAGGCACATGTGTCAGTCCACAAGTCTCTTTGCATCGGGTCTTCTCATCGCACTCTGTGATACAGGGACTGGCAGATAGCCAGAGACAATGTGAACTAAGTATGCAAGACAATGTGAACCAATCACAGGTTCACATACAGCCTGTCTGCAGCTGACAGTGGGTGAGTATGTTGTGCTGAAGTGGCTGGCAGGGATGGGGAAGAAATATTATCAATCTTACATAAACCATTTGAATGAAATGAACTTAAAAATTAAAACCCAATACACAAAGTTACATGTTTATTCAAGTGGTGCTTCTAACGGAAATTGTAATATTTAGGGTGTAACTTACATTGACATCGCAATCCGATACATACCCCAGTAATATGGAGTGTGATGCAATTTGTATCTTAATACAGTACTTTTTATTTCATAAGTTCATAATCTTTCCTATTTGTAGGTGAATCACAAAACCTGAATCATTTGTTATTAAATTTCAGACAATGAAAATGAGATATTGTGGGGAGAAACATAAGTATGAGGGCAATCAAGAGATTCTGCTTTTTATAGCCATTCAGGCAAATGCTAGAAAATCTTTATAAACATTTTCTTACTTCAGTATAGCTTGTAATGTAATGAATCATATGTATTGTAATACAGGAGTTTGTGCCGATGTATTGTAGCTTGAGGCTTGTATCATGATACAATGCTGTAATGTTGTAACAATCTAACTAGTAACATTTTACTCATTACCACGTAATGGGCTTAATACAAATGCTTTGTTTGATGTTCCAGAAGACAGGACTGAGAGTGTTAACTTAAAGTTGGAGCCTGTGTCAGAATCCAAGAAAAGGTAACTTTGTTGAGTGTAACGAGTAGCACTGCAGGAGATTAGGAGGGAAACTACATCTCTATTTGCATTTGTACTCTCCTCATGGAGCTGATAATTACTTTGAGAGCACACTGATCCATTCACTTTAATAATGGGGAAGCAGTGTAGGGAACCAGAAGCATTTTAATAAGTATGTGTACTTTGTGTTATTGTTGTTGTTTATCTTAAATGACCTTTCAAGTCTGTTTTAAAACATATGAACAAATGTTCAAGTATTACTGTTAGCCTTCATACTAGTAATTACATTTTCTTTGCCAAAATTACATGTTTTGTTTCCCATTGGTGTCCCTATAGTATTTATTCATAATATCTGTATCACTCATGCTCATGCTGTTGATCATTGGATTGTCTGGTTGAGACTCGATTATTTACAGACCGCCGTCATATAGCTGGAATATTGCTGAGTGCGGCGTAAAACTAAACGCTCTCACTCACTTGTATCACTCATACTGTATCTTTGTGTACATGCTCATAACGCGACTTCACCATTTAATATGTTCTTGTCTGTATGCTTAACATGCTAAAGGGGGCGGTGGAGTAGCCTAGTGCTATCGCCGTCGTCTCGCTGAGGACCCAGGTCTCGATTCCCCAAAATGGGTACAATGTGTGAAGCCTTTTCTGGGTGTACCCCCTACCGTGTTTTGCTGGAATATAGCTAAAGCGGCGCGTAAAACCACACTCACTCACTAACATGCTAAAGGTTAAATGACTCTCACATATTACTGGGGTGGTGGTGTAGCCTAGTGGTTAAAGCATTCGGCCGTCCACGCGCAAGACCCGGTTCGATTCCCTAAATGGGTACAATGTGTAAAGCCCATTTCTGGTGTCCCCTGCCGTGATATAGCTGGAATATTGCTAAAGTGGCGAAAACTAAACTCACTCACACATTACAATAGCCATGCTTGTGCAATATAGCATTGAACAGTTGTAGATACTTTTTAGTTTCACCAATGGAATAGTTATGATTAGTGCATATGTATCATGATAATTATCATGGGTTTGAATTTCCTTTGTGACATGTTATATTTAGGATTACACTTTCTTTCCTTTTTTCAACCTTTTTTCACTTCAGGATTGCACTTTCTTAGTAAAGTACAATTTCTGGTACATTTGGGGTTAGAAACCTTGATGTTAGAGTGGGTTAGATTACTGACTTTGTGTGCTGGTGATTTGGTGTCTTACCCTGAATTCGATGGGATTTTGGCCTAAAAGGTACTTTGTATGTAGTAAGAAAGTGTAATTCCAGATATAACATATGTTACATTTAACCGCTATCAAAATGCCATGGTGTATTCTGTTGTTTGTCTATCACAGTAATGTCTTCAGCAGTCCACAGAACACATATCCCAGTACTCAGGAGTTTGTCGCTGAACCGCATCAGAAGCTGGTGAAAGTACATCTCAGTAAGGATGATGCTCCACTGACCAGCTTGACCGCTCTGTCAAACAGTGTTTCAGCATTACCCAGAAACCTACAGCTGGCTGTTCACAGTTGCATACCAAAGTGTATGTATTCAACACACTCTACAGCAGGCTCATCAGGCTTCTGGGCCCCAGTGTGTGGTCAAGGGAGACAATTTCATCAGACAACACAGACAGGCTGTTTCCAAGATCTGCTGCAAGGTTTAGCACTAAAGGACAGTCTTTGGTATGTAGATTCTTATCTGTATTTAGAGATGAAATGAGTTATCAAGTTAAAATTTGTCATATTTTTAAACTTATCCGATCTCACATATTGTACTCTCTCTTTAATTCGGATGTAATGAGTGGAAACAAAAACATGTGAACTTATCTCAGCCTCCGGTCCAATGTTGTCCTCCTTCCTGGACATCTCACTGTCTCTCGCTAGAGGCATGCGTCACGCTCCACTACCTTCTCACATGACCATTCCTTAGGGATCATTTCTCCCTCTTGTCACGATCAGTGCAGATACTTATTTTGTGAATGAAAAAAATTCCAAATGAGAATATGGGAAAGAAAGAAACATCTTCCTCTAGAAAGAGGAAACTTTGTAATAAATGTAGAACTATCTTCGTTGTTGCTGATCCCCATACATCATGTGTGGATTGTGTGGGTTTTTGTTCTTGGGATAATCGTTGTTCCTACTGTAAACCTTTGACTGAGGAAGCTTTCGCTAAATATAAGAAAGTTGGGTCCCGCCGGCATGCGGACAGAGACTATCGGAAGACATCAGGAGAGAATGGCCCATCTTCTTCCAAAAAGTCTAAAGTAGATCTTCCCAAGAAAGTAGCAAAAAGGAGATCCCACACACCATCGTCTTAACCTAGGGATGATTTTCTGAAGACTTCTTCAGACTCCTATTTACCAGAGAATCTTCGCCTTTTATTGGGAAATGAAGATGGATTTGTCGCGATCGGTCATCTTTATCTTCGAGTCTCTGGTCATAGATAAGACAAACCAAACAGGACCTTTGTTCGACATTGTATCGGATTACCTACAACATGGGTGTACTCTTAACCTACCTATCAGGTGATCTATGTCATATTATACCGACAGTACCCGATTGATGCATTGAATCTTTCACCACCTGTACCATCTATCGCTTCAGTGGTTTCGTAGTGCCACCGAACCTCCAGTTACTTCGCGGGTCGGACATCGACAATCGACTAGCCATCATTCATCGAGAGATCGTGATCTACCATCAGGCAGGAGTTCTCACCATTCCTCATCATCGAGGTGGCATTCGAAGTGGAGTTTCATCTATGGAGGGTCATCGAATGTCTATTCGCTCAGATTCGAGCCATCACCATTCGTTGAATTCATCGCCATCGCGAACGGCTCATGTGACGCTAATCACGTACGGCCGAGCTTCCAGTAGTTATGAGACTGAGAGCACCTCAGATTGCAGGTTGGAATCGTGGATGGCAATCTCGCCAATATGTGTATCTCAGCCTAGGAATATGGATTTGTGTAGTCATAGTGAGATATCACTTCAGCAACATACTTTGCCTATGTCATCATTGAAACTACGGGAATGTCATCTCCTATCAACAACCCACTTTTGAGATGATGTTGCGAGCATTCACTACTACCTTATGGACTATGCAGCAGCCGCCGGCTGACTACGGTACCTACTGTACCCTACGATGTCTATCCAGATACCAGTACCTACAGCTGCTGTACTGACTATTACTCCAATACGCTGACACAAGACTTTGTCCCAATTATTCAGGCTTAAAATATCTGATCTGATGGGAGTTTTGATATCGCCGAAGCAGGCCAGGTTTTAGTTTGGATTGTGGAGAATTTGAAAGTACCAAGAAGCACTTCAGCAGAAGATAGTATTTCATCGTACTGCATGAAAGGACAGGATATGTCATCCATTACTTTACAACCAAGAGACTGTATCACTCGCATGACAGGATCATTAGATTTGGCCATCATTAATCTTAAGCTCGTTCGAGATGGGTTCTCTGCACCAAGATACCCAACCAGTGCGGCGCATGTACATGGACTTACGCGTCTTGCCATGGCCCCTACAATGGATGAAGATATTAATACACTATGCCTGAAGATGAATAATTCTCCGTTCCTGGTTGAAGATAGAGAACTAGCGCACATCGAAACGTCCATTCGACGAACCCTTCCAGCATTGAACTGTATTTTATCATCTGTTGATGCAGTGAATGAGACATTACTACATGCACTGGCACTGCAGTATCTAACCAGGATGCTTACATCAGAGGTGTGACAAACCGGATTATTGAACAGTTGTCTACTGTTTTCGACCAGATATCTCATTTTCTAGGCTATGTGCTAGCCATGAGACGTAGAGGTGTGTTGAATCATTCTTCATGGGAGGATAGATACAAGGTTGAACTTTTAGACAACCATGGTCCGCCAAGACAGATCCACGAGGTATCTTTTGAAGTGGACAGAGAAAAACAGTTTCAAGTTTCGTGGATCTTATGCAACTTCAGAAAACCCAGTTGCAGGAAAGCTCTTCGTCAAACGTAAGACACACCATTTAACCCGGACTTGAGGGAGGCTTTTCGCCAAAGTCATTCGGGAACCTCATCCCGTCGTCCCCTAGGACCGCTTCCAGGACTGGAGCCGGCTTGGGACAACTCAAGGACATCATCGCACGACTGGGACCTTCTGCCTCCAGTCGTGCCGATTGTATATACCCCTGTAGGTTGAAGACTGGGACTATTCGCACCCAACTGGGAAATATTGAGCGATCCGTTTGTCATTAATATGCTAGCGACAGGATACAGACTACCACTAATCGGTACACCGCCTCTCACAACCAGCCCGCTACTCCGAACCTATTCAACCAGCCAGCTAACAGCTCGCGCGACTACACGATAGGTACGTTGCTAGAGAAATTAGCAATCCAGTCAGCGGGTCCAGCACCCATGACTCCGGGCTTTTATTCTCCAATATTCCTTGTCCCAGACAAGACTCAGACAAACTGCGACTCATTTTCGATATATACCTTCAACTTCCGCCCCACTTCAGGATGGTTTCAATCAATTTGCTCCAGACTATCCTGAAGAAGGGGGACTATCTCATCAGTTTAGATCTCCAAGACGCCTACCTACATGTGCCGATTTATCCCAATCATCGCGAGATATCTACGGTTCGCTTTGAAAAGCATACATTTGGCAAGACACACTTGGGGTTCAAGAATGTCATTGCAGACGCATCTATCACGGTCCAGTCAACCATCCCCACATAATGGATGTTGCTCCAATCAATATTCCAGACGATGTGTTGCCCGTTATAACCAGACCACAGGTGGACTTATTCCCAATGAGATTCAACCATCAACTTTCCAAGTTCAGATCTCCCATTCGACGACCCGCTTTGGGATCAGGATGCACTAGCAATCTCATGGGAAGGTCTGAACGCCTATGCCTTCTCTCCAGCAGCTCTTCTACCCAGAGTGTTACAGAAGGTACTGACAACCAAACAGATAACACTGATTTTGGTCGTGCCCTACCAAATCCATCCCATCCACCCAATCGAAATGACCTGTTACTTCATCCTCACACAGAGCAGCACCACACATCATCAAAAACCCTAAATCTTCATGTATGGTCCATCTTCAGAAATCTCTCTTCGGTAAGGGATATTCGCAGAGAGAAGCTTCGTCTATTACGATGGCTCAACGCACTTCTACTCACTCATTGCATGATGATAAATGGAAAAGATTTGCAGCATTTTGTATGAATAGAGGCATTTCTTTACCTACTTCTGCCTCTGCTCAGGTTGTTGCGGTGTTTTTACAACATCTTCATTCAACTAAGAAATTGAAATCTTTCAGACTCTCGCTGACCAATCTCGAAGTTCCGGACCTCCAGCGTGGGATCTATCAGTTGTTTTACGTCATCTGGTCTCAGACGAGTATGAGCCTTTACAAGATAAAGACTTTGAACGCATATCATTCAAGACCTTCTTCCTGGTTATCAGAACTCCATGCAGTGGATGTTTCTCGGGTGACATTCAAGCAGGGCAGGGTTTTTCTCGGACTCTGATGGGATTTCGTCGCTAAAAACCAGTTTCTTGGACAGCCGGATCGTATGTTTACCATCCCACCACTGTCCACTATATTGGATCATAACAACACTGAAGATTTGGCGCTCTGTCCAGTCAGAGCGATTAGAATCTGCTTAGCTGCATCACAGGACCGACGCAGATTAAGGAAACAGCTGTTCAACCCTCTATCTACTGCATCCAGGGCCGAAGTATCCCGTACCACCTTATCCTTTTGGATGCGATCAACCATCCTGCAGGCTTTCAGGTTCGCCGAATTATAACCGCCGGCTGCATCAAATCCTTACGAGACTAGGGCATTAGTCTCCACTATGGCGTTACATAGTAACTGCTCCCTTACAACGATTATGGAAGGATGCTTTTGGTAGTCTGACACGTTTTTTCGCCACACTACCTCCAAGACATATCTGTCACCGATGTTTACACCAATTCAGCCCCTTGGTTCTGGCTCAGCAGTTGTCGTCAGCCCATCAACGCAGATAACTTATGGGACTGGATCCGCATGCGGTTCGCTGATTCCTTGTATGTACAGAATAAATTATTGAACCTTACTTCAAGCTTTTGTTCTACTTTATGGGACTAGATGTATTTCACTTAGTCATCACTAAGGCATGAAAACGCGAGTCTAGGGGAGACTACTCGACATACAATGTGGAGTCTATCGTTATATTGCAGAGAAACATCGACACACATGCTTACTGACCTCTACTCACCGAGCAATTACGTCAGTGAAGTGTGTATTTGGAATACCATACACCTTATCTCGGTAGTTAAACAGTATGAGACCTTGCCGTCTGCACTGTGACATAGGGTAATTCATGGCCCGCCATCTTACCATGGGATAAGTACA